TAATGTCCCTTTTTATTGCTTCTATTCTACCAAGAATTCCCTTAACTGCTATATCAAATGCATCTTCAACGGTCTCTAATCTAGAACTTGGATAACGATATATTATTCTTGGAATAAGCCTTATAATCTCCTTTTTCATAGCCAACACTTCACTTTTTGGAACTCTAGACAATGTCTCATTGATCATTACCCTCTTCTGCGTGACATCTGTTACTGGTATATATACAGAGTAGCTAGAACCATTTTTGGGTAAATGCCACAAATATTGGTTATAAGCTGAGTTTGGATCAAAGAAAACAGGAATGCAACCAGCTAGAATTGAGTCAAAAGTTGATCTCCTAGTGAATGAATCCCCTGGAGGCTGGATACAGAAAACTGAGCTTTGAAACACCTTTGTCACTTGCACAGGATCATTGCAATGGTTATGATGATGACTATCATGACAATTTAGAAATCTGCAACTCCTAGAAGATTGGCATTGTTTGATTATCTCATTTCTGATGGAAGATGATAATGAATTAGAATCAGGCCTTGGAGCACCTGCAAAAGAAAACAAGTAAGGCCTTTTCACATTTCTCATTTTCTTCTGCCACTGAAAAATCTCTCTCTCCTTAGTGGGATGAAAGTAAGTTGGATATGGGATAGGAAACTCATTTTCCTTTGAACCAGCAGATTCAATCAGCAAAATTGACATGTTTTTTGCTTCTGGCAAAAGCATTAGCTTGGTGCCCCAATCATCATTGGTATCTGTTACTCTCCTTAAGTCCCAACTAATTCTCCCTCCAACTATGAAATGATCCCTACCCCACATTCTTTTCCATTCTGGTTGTTGTGCCAGCCATTTCACTAGTTCTTTTGGTGAAGCATCTCTTGTTGAAACATTGAATCCACCCCAAAGGTACTGACCAACATCAAGGCCAGCATAATAGGGCACATATATAGCAGAAGCCAGAGAAGAATCCTTGGTTAAGCACTTGTAGTTCTTCATTGTGTTATGAAAAATAACTTCAAGTGAAAATTGGTTAGTTGCATACCAGTTTTCCTTCAGCAGAACCTTCTCCTTTGGTTTCTCAATAACCTTAGGTCCAAGGCCTAAGTTGGTCATGTAAGGGCACATATCAAACCACCTCATGAGAGAATGACAACCCTTCAGTAAATCCTCATTGAACCTCCTAGCAAGATCATGAACATAGATATATTTGCCTGAACAAGAATCCAATTTTCTTGAGGGAGGATCTGCATCAACTCCAATATTGTTTCTCTTATGAACTTCACCTTGTGCTGCAGGAATTGCTGATACATCATTTTGATTTGCATGGATTTTTTTCTCAGGACAATGGGCAGTTTCATTAAAAATGGAAGAAGAATTTGAAGGTTCGGGCATGGTGTGCCTCTGAGCATGGTTGGTACCATTAATGTGGAAAAGTATAAACTCTATTCCATGATCACTGACAGCCACATAGTAATCCAAGAGAAGCAATGAGAAACAAAACATAAAGGATATTAAAAACACAAACCGTAGGCTATCAAAGAACTTCTTCAAGGGAGGCTTGTCCATGTTCTGTGCTTGGCCTTTTGACATTCAGTAAAAGAACATTTTTTCTGAGGGATTATGAAATACAAAGTTTATGTAGGAATGAATGCTAATATGGAAAGAAAAGAAGGAAAGAAAGGAAGGAAAGTAACTATTGGCCTGAAAAATCATTAATGAATATTAATTTTCCTTTTCTGCGTTAAAGGAAGAACTGACTAACAATGGAAAGTAATTAAAGGAATAAAATCATTCAACAGATCAAAAACCATAAACTTGTCATTCATGCATTGATGACAAAAAATGATGTGCAGAGTCACTGAAGTACACCATCATCATCAACCCTTTATACTGTAATCAAACAGCAAAAGATGATGTGCATTATTTGTGTTAATGGTGTGAAATACTGATACCAATATATATATATATATATATATATATATGCATATATATACATACATACATGTGTGTATATATATATATATATATATATATATATATAAATAGTTATATAACAGATAGAATTTTTAATTGTATGCATATAATAAATTTCCTAATTTATCTCAGAATATTACTTATGGAGAAGCTTTCACAAACACACTTCCGACTACTGTAGTCAATCTTAGCTGTGTGAATATAAAGTCCTGGTTTACTATTTTCTCATTCAAATATGTCTTTTATATGTTTAATTGTCAAATTAATATTTTGTACCTTTTAGGTAATTATTTAATTTTATTGACATATACCTTACACATTTTGATATCAAATCAATAACTGTTTACCTTGATTAACTAATTAATGTTAAATTAAAGGTAACGTAATATGATTAAGCAAATTAATATGTAATTTTGGCACTATATCAAAAAATAATCGAACATTTTTATTAAAAAGTTGATTCCAAATTAAAAAAATTGTTTGTTTTAGATATAAGATATGTCATTTAAAAAAATGTTATGAGAATTAATACAATTTAAGACATATATGTTCTCTATAATGCTTTTGTTTTATTTGTCATTATGTACATATTTCTGTTTTATCTTTTCTAATCCCTTGCTTTGTATATTATCTTTCTTGGATATTCTAAAAATATAAAACTTTTCAAAAAGATTTAAATAAATCTTAGCATTCCAATAATACACTTAGAATAATGATCGAGTTTAAGCACGAATAAAAGGAAGATTTTTTTATTATTATTTGTATGGATGAAATCATTTGAAATTTCTTAACGTCTTAGTAATTATTTCCATTATTTAGGATATTTTAAATATTAATTTTTCGACAAAAAACTTATTTAATTGGCATGATAATGATATAATATTCTATCACATGATATTTTGTGGAACAACTTGTTTCGTAATCTTACTTTGACTTTACTCCAGTTTAGGTCCCATTACTACTATTATTATTCTGTCGTAAATCTTGTTAAAATTCATTACTTTCTTTTAGTTAAATTTTTATAGACAATATTTTATTTTATTTTTGTCTAGGTATTAAAGAAAAATATAATTTCCTTATTTATTTTAGTAAATATTTTTTTGAAAGTATATTTTCTAGTTACTTAATATAATTCATTTGAGGGGTGAAGTTCTCATATTTGAAACTTTGGAACAAGGGGTGAAGATTTTCTTTGATGACTGGAATTTATTAAAATGTATTTCTAGTTCTTTATCCGGAGTTGGTAGGTTAAAATTGTAAAGTATTTTCTTAAAATTAAATGAAGTACATAAAGTTAAAAGGTAAATATATTTAAATAATTTCTACAAAGTTTTGAATTTAAACATTATAACAATATTTTTTAAATATTAATATGAAATTGTAATTTTTGTTTATTAATAAAACATAATTCGTAATTAACTTTGTTTAAATACTTTTACATGCAACTTAATTATTGAAGAAATGACCACATTAAAATGACGAAAACAAATTTGGTATTGTATATAGGAAGAGAGTCAAAATACTTTAAGAAGATGAATTTTATTGACTTTGTCTTTATCAATTAGTTTTCTTTCTATTTTTTCTATCTCCATAACGTGTTTATAAAAGATATTTTAATATTCAACTATGTTAGATAATAATTAATGTTATAATAATAAATATAAATTATTAATGCTATTTATAAGATAATTATATGGGTCGGTAACCTTAACCCATATACTGAGTGTTTTATCCTATATTTTATTAAATTTTTTCTGAATTTCTATATTTCAAAAATAACTTTTTTTTAATAAATTTTGAAATTTTTTGAAGCTTTAAAAAAAAATTTAACAAATTTCGAAATCTCTTGAAGAAAAAAAAGTGGAGTGTATGATTTTTTTAAATGTACGAAAAAGTTTTGAAATTTAAAAAAAAATTGAGAGTGCATGGATAAATGCAGAGAGAAACAAAGATAAACACTCATTTATTTTTTATTCAGATTATATTAAATCAGAAAATAATAATTTATTAAAGTAAGACTGATCAACTTTTGACTGAATAGAAACCGGTTAGTCTGTAACCAGATAGAAATTGACTGATATATATATATATATATGTATGTATATATATATATGTATGTATATATATATGTATGTATGTATATATATATGTATGTATGTATATATATATATGTATGTATGTATATATAGATATGTATGTATGTATATATAGATATGTATGTATGTATATATAGATATGTATGTATGTATATATAGATATGTATGTATGTATATATATATATATATATATATATATATATATATGTATGTATATATATATGTATGTATGTATATATATATATGTATGTATGTATATATAGATATGTATGTATGTATATATAGATATGTATGTATGTATATATAGATATGTATGTATGTATATATAGATATGTATGTATGTATATATATATGTATGTATGTATATATATATGTATGTATATATATATATATATGTATATATATATGTATGTATATTTTACGTATTATATCAACAATTCTAAAAATAGCTGTTTAACAGATAGAATTTTTATAATTGTATGCATATATTTCCTAATTTCTCTCAGAATATTACTTATATGGAGAAGCTTTCACACATACACTTCCGACAACTGTAGTCAATCTTAGCTGTGTGAATATAATGTCCTGGTTTATTTTCTCATTTAAATGTGTCTTATATGTTTAATTATCAAATTAATATTTTCTATGTAATTATTTAATTTTATTGACATATAGCTCATAGGTTTTGATATCAAATCAATAATTGTTGACTTTAATTAACTATTTAATGTTAAATTAATAGGTAACATAATATGATTAAGCAGATTAATATGTAATTTTGGCATTATATCAAAAAATAATCTGAATATTTTTATTAAGGAGTTGATTCCAAGTTATAAAAATTGTTTGTTTTACATATAAGATATCTCATTTAAAAAAAATTATGTTGTGAGAATTAATACAATTTAAGATATGTTCTCTAGAATGATTTTGTTTTTATTTGTCATTATGTACACATTTCTACAAATATATAAAACTTTTCAAATAGATATAAATAAATCCTAGCATTCCAATAATACATTTAGAATAATGATCCAGTTTGAACAAGAGCAAAAGGAAGATTTTTATTTATTTTTATGGATGAAATAATTTGAAATTTCTTATATAATAACGTCTTAGTAATTATTGCCATTATTTAGGATTTTTAAATATTATTTTGTTGATAAAAAACTATTTAATTGGCGTATATGATAATGATATAATATTCGATCATATGATATTTTGTGGAATACTTGTAACTTTTCGTAATCTTACATGTGACTTTACTCTAGTGGCCCATTATTATTATTAGTTTTCTTAGTAAATCTTGTTAAAATTTATTACTTTTTTTATTTAATTTTTTATTGACAATATTTTGTTTTATTTTTTACTAGCTAGGTATCAAAGAAAACAAATAGTTTCCTTATTTATTTTTTAAAATATTTTTTTAAAAGTATATTTTCTAGTGTACTTAATTATAATTCATTTGAGGGTTGAAATTCTCATATTTGAAACTTTGGAACAAGGGGTAAAGATTTTCTTTGATGACTGGAATTTATTAAAATGCATTACTAGTTATTTATTCGGAGTTGGTGGGTTAAAATTGTAAAGTATTTTGTTAAAATTAAATGAAGACCATCAAGTTAAAAGGTAAATATATTTAAATAATTTCTACAAAGTTTTTAATTTAAACATTATAACAATATTTTTAAAAATATTAATATGAAATTGTAATTTTTTTATTAATAGAACACAATTTGTAGTTAACTGTCTAAATATTTTACTCGTTACATGCAACTTAATTATTGAAGAAATGACCTTGAAAATGCTATTGTATTTAGTGAGTGAACCAAAATACTCTAAAAAGATGAATTTTATTGATTTTTTCAGACAACTTATTTTCTTTCTGTCTTTCTGTAGTGCTTCTCCATGGATGGACGTTTGACATGTTTATAAAAAATACTTCAATGTTTGGGTGCTTAGTTAATGTAATATATGATAATAATTAATGTTATAACAATGTAAATTATTTACACTGTTCATAGATAATTATATGGGTTAATTGATTTAGTGATCCATTTACTTTTGATTCAGATTATACTAAACTAAAAAATAACATGTCACTAAAGTAAGACTAATCAGTCTGTGATCGAATAAAAACTGATTGGATTGTGGTCGAATAAGAATTGGTTGGTTTGTGACCAGATAAGAACTAACCAACTTATAACCAAATAACATATTAATTTTTGATTGAGTAAAAGTTTACCAGCTTATAATTGTTTTGTATATCATCTTAAAAATCATTTTACAAAAATAAAAGATAAATCTATTGAACAAACAAATAACATGTATAATATTAAGGCTTGTTCACTTGAATGGATTTGGGGGAGAGTGATTGAGGGGATTTGAGAGGATTTGAAAGTAAACTTTTTTGTTGTTTATTGGAGTGGATTTGGAGGTAAGTGAGAGTGAATTTGGAAGTAAAGTTTGTCAGAATTAGTGTAGGATTTGATTGACGTGACAGATTAAAAAAATTTACTTCCAAATCCACTCTAATTTACCTCCAAATTCACTCAAATAAACAACAAAAAAATTTTCCTTCAAATCCCCTCAATCACTCTCTCCCAAATCTATTCAAGTGAATAAAGCCTAAAAGTTGTACCTTAAATTTTGAATTTAATACATAAGTAATGGAATAATACATTGATACAAAACATCAAAGTTATTAACTTTAAATAATTTACTTTTTCGAGAGCATTTTGAATGAATGTGTTTTATTCATGATATTAAACTCAATTGGTTATTAGATTTAAGTCTTCCGTATATCAGATAACATTTTTACTCTCAAGAATTAAAAAAAAGTAATTATTATAATAATTAAATTAATTTTTAAAGTTATAAAAAATCGAATTGCAAATGAAAAAAATTATAAAAGTTTGTAATTTATAAATATCATAATAGTAAAAAAAACTCACAAGGTTATTAAAAAGAAAAGGATGAAAAGAAAACACACTCTTACACGTAGAAAAATGATAGACAGACAACCAACAAAATGTAGCACATTCAATATGAGAGACACACTCTTAAAAACTAAAAACACAAGCAATTTGACAACACTTGTCAGTTACTGATAATAGGAACCTTGCTTTAAGTTGATACTAAATCCTACGTGACATTAGTATGAGTGTGATATGGTGAGAAAATTATGCTTAATGCCATTGGAAACTTGGCTCTTGCTTCACACCATGCACTTGAAAATACTTCCAGTACTTTCTGCCTTGTGAGGATGGTAACTTTTTCTTAAGTAATTTTATCTTACCTTTCAATGCACACATGAAAATTTTGTTTTCATCCATCCCACAAAAAACCAGTAACCCAAACTCATTACTGAAAAATTGTCTTTGACCACACCACCCAACTAATGAAACTTGAAGCAAAAAAAGGTTAATTAAGTGTGTTTAGTTGAACAAAATCATGAAACAAGAACGAAAAAGAAGGGAGGGCACGTGCTTAAATATTACTTGCAGAGCTCCCTTGTGATTCACTCTACGATGTTGATATACACAAGTTAAGTAAGCTGAATGATAGAGTCTGATTAAGTTACCAAATGATTTCAAAACGAGACACTTATAAAGGAAATAAAGTGAAGGGAACAAAGGGTTGATTGATGATGATGCAAAGATGTGAAAAATCTGCAAAAGAATGCCTTAGTACACAAGTGATGCTAGTTAGGAGGAGCCCACTTTTGGAATATATATGGTGATTATGTTAATTATTTGGGAGCTTGTAGAAGAACAAAAGTTAGTTTTAGAACTCAGTACTAATCTAATCCCACTTATTATTAGCCTTACAAACTTAAAAGTATTTTCAATTTTGGTACAAATTCCTAAAGCAGGTTGAGTTGCACAGTTTAACCAACTACCCACTCTATTACTCTAACACACCCACTCCATTATCATTTATATATACTCTATACATCTTTTTCCCTCGTACCAAACTTGGATTCAAAATAATTTCTTTCCCCACGTAAATCATTCTTTCTTGCTCATAAAGACAAACAGCAACCTAAATATAACCACATTCTAGCCACCCTGTTCATAGATAGCTATCTAGGCCAAGCTTTGCAGCATAAGAAGTTGGTACACAAACATAAAAGTTTAGGTTTTTGGAGAGATGAGAAAACGTATGGAAAGAATAGTTGTTCCTTGCTCTTTCAGCTGTGCTTCCCATTCAAGTGTGGAGTTGGGTGTACCCAAAGGATCAAAAGAAGATTCAAAAGCCACTATTGTTTCAAGTAGTTTCTTCTCTCTTGAATAATCTTACTGTCTCTCTGTTAATTCTTTTTTTTTTCTTCTTGTTCTTGAGTGATTGGAGTGTTATGAGTAATTTGAGATATTCGTTGTGCTAGAAGGACATGATAGATCGATAGTCATAGCCAATATCAAGAGAGGCAAGCCTTCTGGATTTCTGTCTCTACCAAAGCCTAATGTAGCTGCTGGCATATACAGAATAATCAAGACCATCAAGAATTTTCCTCAATTATTTTGTGAGTTCAACAACTCTTAATCATTCTGTTTCTCATGAATTTTGTTGGTCTTAACTAAGTCAAATTTTAATCTCAATTATTTTCAAAATTACAGATAAGATCAATTTAGATTATATAATTGTGTTAACCTCATCTTACAAGCCGATTTTCCAATATTAAGTTGTGTTGAAAGTCTCATGTCGACTAAAAATAAGATTAATTTAAAATATATAAATAGATACAAATCTCATCTTACAATACGATTTTTTGGCATAAAGGAGTGTATTAAAAGTCCTGCGTCGACTAGAGATAGAATTAATTTAGAGTATATAAATGAATGCAAACCTTACCTTGTAACCTTCAAAGCTGATTTTGTGGATTTAAGTTAAACTTAAAATCTACTTCTTAATTTTTACTCTGAGCTTATAAATTTTAGATATTTAACTTTTTCACTTGAAATTTAGGCTCACATTTTATTGGCTTGAATGCAGTTTACAGAGAGAAGGAGGAGGAAATGGAAGCTGAGATGGAAATTGGGTTTCCAACAGATGTGAAGCATGTGACACATATTGGAATTGATGGGTCAAGCATTACAAATAATGTAAGGGGTTGGGACAATCTGAAGGCACCTGAATTGTTGTCTCTGTCTCCAATTTCATTCAAGCAATTTGAATTGGCCATGGCTACCCAAGCTCAATGTTCTCTCATTGATGATGCTAATTCCTCAAAAAAATGCTGTTAAAACAGTTCTGGGAACCCTTTCTAATTGTAGATTAATGGTGATGATTGATGACTATGTACCTAGGAGTTTATACACAACTGCACAGATTGAAAATTCATGAATGCTGGTTTGTTTTGTTCTGTTCTTGAGATTGCCCAAGCTTCATTACATTCTTTTCTTCAATATTGAAGTCTTTCCATTTTTAATTTGAGTTTTTTCTTTCCATTTATTTTCTTTATATATTTAATTAAGTTTCATTCACTTTCATTATTTTATTTTAAAGTATTATATTAACTATAACTTAAATAAAAAATTAAAAGTTAAAATTTTAACTTAAATAAAATTTCAAATTAAAAAATCCACCTTCTCTCTCTGTCATTCCTATCTTCGTAGTTTCTCATCCTCTTACCAGGCACAGCTATCTTCGTACAAATCATTAAAATCTGTTAGCTTGTGTTTTTATTTTCTGTTTTCTTATTTTAATTACCAATTCGTGATCTTATTTTCAGAGTGTTTCCCATTTCAAATTGTTGTACAAAAAATAAAGAAAATAAACAATGATAATTTCAGTATTTCTTGTACAAATAGTTAAATGTTATAAACAATTAAAAATAAAGCGACACAAAGAAATGAAACATAAGGATTCAGATCGTATTTTAAACGTAAATGAAAAATAAATAAATAAAACGGGTAAAATTTCAAATGTTGATAAGAAAAATTAACAGAACCTCATAAGATTCAAATAAAAAATTTTAAGTATACAAAAAAAGTTATACTAAAAAAATTTTAATAGAATATATGTTATACACAAAAATTTATAATCAGGAAAGAGGTTGAAAAAGACATAGAAGAATTATATAAAATAAGTGATATGATGACAATAATTAAAAATATAATAATTATGAGTGCTATAATCATTCTTCACACAAGTGTATATTTAATATTTGAGAAATTAAATTCATGCATTCAACTGAAATATTTATTCATATTACATCCAATAATCTCACGAGTTAAATCAGATACAATTTAAATATTTTTTCTTTTTCTATTCTCTAAATATTTTTTGAAAATAAAATCGTGATAGTTTTAGAATTCAAAACATTATACACCTTATATATAGAGAGAGAATAATGAAGAAAAAGTATAAATGATTAAACATGTAAAATCCAAATAATTTTCTTTTGAAATAATTTATCAAAAATGTAAAACAATGTTAAGCTCTTCTCATTCTCATTCTAGTTAAGTTTATGTTCTATATAAGAGTTTTATAATTTGGAGTGTACTCTTAATTATAATTATGAGAAGATAATTTGTTGCTAAGTTTGTGTCGGTTGTCGTTAATTATGTTATGTCTTTCTCTTTGTTCATTTATCATCACCGACACCTCTCTTCACTCTATTTTTTCACACTTAAACCTATTTTCAAATTATAGGGAGTTTCAATTTTAAATTAGCAAACTGTATAAATTAATTTGTAAATGGAAAACTCATCACAAAAACGAGTTAATAAAATAAATTAATAGCAAATACTTGGCCGTGAATTCTTTCTTATAATTTTCTTTAATCTTTGCTTATTTTTAATATGTATGTATGCATGGAGTTACAAGCTGAGATGGTAATCTATTTTTTAATATTTCATAAACATGATTAATTACTTTTTGCTATTTTTAATTATGTTTATTTCACTCATAAATTCGGAATTTATGTTAACGATTTCATAATCAATATCGTTTTAATCTACAATGAAATTTTATTATTAAAAATCAATCTTATTATTCTTGAAATTAAGATACTTAAAATGTTTATAATTTATGCTTAGAAAAGACCCGCGAGAACGATACTAAAAAAAAGACGTACCAACTGACCAAGCAATGCTGTACCGAAGGGCAATATTGACATTTCACGTGTCCTGCTTGGGTGTCGGTGGAGAAATGCGGTTCTTTGCCTCAAAGCCAGTCTGTGATCACTTAAACATCGAACACTTTGTGTCCCACCAACGCATTATCCACCGTCGATTCCTCTAAAGTGTTCGATCTATAATCTCACACAGAGTAAGCACGCATAACGCCATAGGAGAAGGACCTTCTACCAGAAAAACTCGTAGTGTTATTATTATTTGGTCGATTCTCCCTCTTCTCTGTACGTCAAGAGAGAGAGAGAGAGAGAGAAATGGAGAGGGCGAAGCGAAACGCTGTTGCGGCAATCGCGTTGGTGGTGGTACTCGCGGTGGTGGCGGCGCGTGTGGAGGCGCAGCAGGACTCAAACGTGAAGACGCTGGTGAAGTACAAGCACGGGAAGAAGTACTGCGACAAAGGGTGGGAATGCAAGGGGTGGTCAATTTACTGTTGTAATCTCACTATAACCGACTATTTCCAGACCTACCAGTTCGAGAATCTGTTCTCCAAGCGGAACTCTCCGGTGGCGCACGCTGTCGGATTCTGGGACTACCACTCCTTCATCGCCGCCGCCTCTCTCTTCGAACCGGAAGGTTTCGGTACCACCGGCAACAAGACCATGCAGATGATGGAGATTGCCGCGTTCCTCGGACATGTCGGCAGCAAGACCTCTTGTGAGTTCTCTACCGTCCACATTTTGTGAATTTTATTTATGGATTGTGTGTGTTTGGTTTGGAGTGTGAAATTTTTTGTTTAAGTTGGAGCTTGCAGTTTTGAGATTGTGAGATCTGTGTGTGTTGTTGTGCTTGAGTTGAGACTTTGGATGATTTTAATTTGTTGCTGCGTGGTCTGGTTTGATTGCCATGCTGTAAAGCTTGATTTGTCTGGAACTGAGACAGTGCAGTCAATTTTTCACGCACTCTCGCAGTCTTCGCATTTGTAAGTGTTGGATGACGATTGGGCATCTCTGATTTTGAACGTGTTTTTTAAGTTTGATTTGTCGAAATGAATAGAGTGATCTGATCTTGTCTCTGTCTGATTTTTCTTTGACGGTTGACTTGTTGAATGTGCGAGTGTGGGATAGACATAATTAGGTCGAGCAAGCAATTTTGAGATTGTGTGATGTTTGTCGGTGGTGTTTGAAACTTTGAATGATTGTTGTTTCTTATTGTGTGTGATTTTATCACTATGCTGTAACCTTGATTTGTTTGGAACTGAGTCGGGGCTGTCAATTTTTTCATGCATTCACTCAGTTATCATATTTGAGTCTGGTTTATTGAATTAAAACATGCGTTGTCTCTGTCCGGCGGTTATATTTGTTGAATGTGTGAATCTGTGGAAAGTTGAATGCGGGGAAGGGAATTGGATCTTTAGTTGGTTTGGCACATATTGTCTTTAGATGATTTGGTTTTTGATTGACATATGGTGTCTGATGTGTCGAATCGCATTTTAAGGTAGAGAGATGTTTGGCGAGAGTTGCACGTAGTAAGGTGATTGATTTAGTTGTGTTTTAATTGGACAACTGTGTGGTGTTGATTGGTCTTGTAATACTTGTACCAGGTGGTTATGGAGTGGCTACTGGAGGACCTTTGGCTTGGGGTCTTTGTTACAATCATGAAATGAGTCCTATGCAGTCATACTGCGATGAGTATTTCAAACTCACATACCCCTGTACTCCCGGTGCTGAGTACTATGGACGTGGTGCTATTCCCATTTTCTGGTATGTGTATGTTTGTTTAGCTGTACAGATAATTGAAGCATATCTTCCTGGTTTGGAATTCCCGGTGTTTTTTTCTTTGTTGGCTAAATAGCTTTTTAATCCATAAGAGATAACAAAAGGTACCTAAGCTAGGCTTAGTTTCTTTCTCATTCATGAAAATTGCCATTCGTCTCAAATGTAACCAGTGTTGTTAAAAGGTTTCTGCAATATCCTTGACCAATCTTTATCAAATCCATCACACTTGTTGAAGGGTTAACACACACCGCAAATTTATTTGTTAATTCATAGCTTCCTCTCTTGTCTGAAAAAAATGTAGTTCATGGATAGCAGTTAGGTTCTGGTGCTATCACCGATTAATTCATCCAAAGTACATCAATGATCATGATCATCACACTCACTTTAGCAACGAAACTAATTGTTTTAGCAATCTAAATGACACATTTCGTGGACAGAGAACTACTATAAGGTTAAGACAATTATAGTTCCTTCAAATCATAACAAAGTAAAGATAGAAGTTAAATGGACATTACGTTACCAAGTTTGAAGATTATAGTAATAAGAAAGAACCTATTGCAACAAGAGATAAAGTAGGATAAGAGTGAATAGAAAGAAAAAACGGTAATTTATCAGTAATTGGGAGACACAGAGCTGTATTTCTGGGTTTGTGCAGATGAATTTTTAAATTATCAGTGATATCAATGAAAATTATGAACAGTTATATGCATGTGCAGATTTTTCTGTGACACCAATAAAATCTTAAGCCTGATTCCTTACCTTTTATTGTTCTGATATACCAGTTCTGTTTGGTCTGAATAGGTAGATATTTGGCCATAATAGCATAATGGCCATCTTATCAAATTAAGTAGCATCTAAGGCTACTTGTATTTTATGAAGGCAGTTTTGGTTATATTTTATTGGAGCATTTTTATTTGAAAGTTGAAAAATACAAATACTCAATAAGAAAAAGATTCATTAGGTTTTATCACCATCGCTGTGCTTGTTGAATGTGGAGGTTATACTTAATGACATGATCAATTCAGGAACTACAACTACGGTGCTGTTGGAGAAGCTTTGAAGGTGGATCTTCTAAGCCATCCAGAATACATAGAGCAGAATGCAACCCTTGCTTTCCAGGCTGCAATATGGAGATGGATGACACCAATAAGGAAGTATCAGCCCTCTGCTCATGATGCCTTCGTTGGCAACTGGAAGCCTACCAAGAATGACACTATGGAGAATCGCGTTCCTGGTTTTGGCACTACAATGAACATTCTCTATGGGGATGGTGTTTGTGGTCAAGGTGATGTGGATACGATGAACAATATCGTTTCCCATTACATGTACTATCTTGATCTTCTTGGAGTTGGTAGAGAACAGGCTGGACCCCATGAATACCTTACATGCGCTGAGCAGGTTCCTTTCAATCCATCTTCCAAAGCTGCCTCATCAACTTAGATTACATTTATTATACTGTTGTGCCAATCCCTTTGAAAGTGTAAGTTAATAAGGGTTCTTTAAATTATTGGTATGCAATAATTTTGAACTTTGTATGGCAGTGTGCGGATTCATTTAGCTTTTCTTCGTCATTGTTTAGTAGTTAAGTCATATTGTAATACCATACGTCGTGAAAAATTTGTATCTGGTATATATGTACGTTGTGAGGGCATTTTGTCGTTATCATTATTACATATACATTTCTTGGTTGCAATGTAAATTTGAATATCTTCATTTCTTGGAACTCATCTTGGTCTTCATTAATGACTAACCATATAAGTTATTTATGCCAGCTATATAAAATGACAAGTAAATAGAACTGTTGCGCATCCGTTATCAGACGACTGTGTAATTTAATTACTCTTTAAGTTTTATCATTCATTTATTTTATTTTATATGGTTCTTAGTTTTTTAAAAGTGTAATTATATGGTTATTAACAGTTTTAACTCATGTCTAATGTAATTTATGGTCAAAGTATACGACAATTTACAAGTAAATTGGTATATTATTGCATTTTTAAAGTTGAGAGACTTGGTTTTAAGGTTTTTCTTTTTTAATTAAAGAACTTTATTGAACTTTTATCAATAAAATATCTAAAGATTAATTTTGTGGGACTTACTTTTCGCGTTAACTTGGTTATATTCATGATTTTCTTTTAAACATTAATTGAGTTTCATAGCTTTTATAGAAGTGAATTCATTCAAGGAATAAGGTTCACATTTTGAACCAATTGAAAAAATACTAAAAATTGTGTTCTCAATTATCTCCATTTCAAGAACTAAATTGACTTAATTTATAAAATAAAAAGGCTAAAATGAATTTGAAAATAAGAGGCAAAAGTACAATTTAAATTCTTTCTTTTTAAACAACTATATTTTAATTTAAATAAGTAATGATAAACATACACCTTCATTTTATCTATATATCTCTCTTATCAATCTAACCTATAAATTTATCATTTGTATTCTGTCTAGGTCTATATTAAATGTTGATATTTTTTTGTATCCGTGAATATTTTTCAATCTAAATATTCAAACATTCTTTTTTTTTCAGACAGTTGTCTTGTGTTTATAAAATCTAATATAGCAAGCACGGGTCAGTATTACATTCGTCTGTGGATGTTATTTGTGGGCCAATTTTGAAAATGGATAGAAGTGCCCAGATATTGAAGGGGTGCAAAACGGAAAAAGTCCAAATATAAGGACTTGGTCATTCGCACTCATTGTTGTCTAAACTCCCAAAGTTGGTATTTTATAAATTCGAGAAAATGCCCTTTACAACTTCACGTTATATTGTTGGGTATTTATATATAACAAAAGCGTATTATACTTATGCAGAGGGGGTGATGATACTTAAGATTTTATTATTATTCTGGTAAATAATTTTAAAAAATAACTTTTGAAATATAGATAAATGCGATGACATAAAAGAAATTGTCAGAACCATTAAAAATCCACTCAGGATTCGCTTTAGTGGATTTCACGTGTCAAGAGGGGGGCTCGACACTCAGCTGGTGGAAGACAGGTGTTGGCAAATGAGCGGACGCTTGTTTTGACGTTGGAAGGAAAACTTGATTTTCAGAAATCCACGCCACTCACTGCATGCACCATTCTTCCCCAGATTCTGAAAATTTCATTTTCTCCTCCTTCTCACTACACCTCCTTCATCTTCTCTCTAAGAAATTTTCACTTTTGCTTCCTCCGATCACTATTCAGGCACCGTTACTACTCCTCCGGCGTCAATAGCTTCCAGTTAAACCGTTCCGTTTTGTGAAGCTGAGCTGGTAAGTTCTTCTCTTCACTCAGTCGTGTGTTTTCCTAGACATGCAAACCAAGTTCTGGTTTCATGTGTTGATCACCCTTCTCATAATGAGTGGTTCTGATAGTGTTGGGTTTTCACTTGGTGTAGTTTGGATTGTCGAGCGTTGAGGGTAGAAGAACTTGTAGTGGTGGAACTGTACTCTGTCTCTGTGAACGTTTGGTCACATTAGAGGTAAGGGAAGCTTATATAATTTAATTGTATGTTCGTTTTTACGTTCGCTGCTAATGAATGCATGTTTGTTGAGTGGCTGAATGTATATGAAGTATGATTGTTGATATGTGTTGACTATATGAAGTATGATTATTTACTATGATATGGATGTTTGACTTTATGATAATAGATGTTGAGAGATGAATTGATAGAAAGAATTCTAGTATGAAATTTCTCTATAAAAGTGTACGTTTGTCACTGAACGGTCCTTGACCGTTCGGTTTTTCTAGTGAACTTGGTTGGAATTGGATTCTTTCATTTGGGAAGAATCCTAGTTGAGGACGAGCATCTTCATTTTGTAATATTGTGCATGAGCGTTCGACCAAGCGTAGTTGTTCCTTGGTATTCGGTTATAAACTTAAGTTTATCTATATGTACTTGTATATTTTCGTTTGTTCTTAAACACTACTCAAAATGGTATCTTATTATATTTATCAAGCCTTTCTCCTATAAGTTTAGTAGTGCTCGGTCTTTCTCCAAGCGCTCGTACTGAGTAGTGCTCTGTCTTCCACCAAGCGCTCGTGCTGAGTAAGTGCTCGGTCTTACACCAG